GTTAGCAGGACAGGGAATCCTAGGGGTTGAGGTGGCAAATTGCAATGACCTCCCCTTACCCTGAACTTTGGGACCCAGTAACAGTCGATATTAGGGGTCCTATTAAGGGCTACATATAACCATATTATACTTATTATCCAACTGTTACTGAGGGGGGCAGTATCCAACCTAAACCCTAAACCCTAAACCCTAAATCCTAAACCCTAAACCATAAATTTCAGAACTGAGATCCCCAAGTGGCTTTGCCAGCTGGTGCAGGCCTTCAGCACCGGCAGAGCCCGCACCACCGGGGCCGCAGAGGCGCAAGAGGTTAGGGTTTGGGAGGGTTCAGGGTTCAGGGGGTTTGGGGTTTAGGGTTCAGGATTCAGGGGGTTTAGGGTTTAGTGGGTTCAGGGGTTTAGGGTTTGGGGTTCAGGGGTTTAGGGTTCAGGGATTTGCGATTTAGGGCTTAGGGCTGAAAGACCCTGAGCCCCATTATACATATGTATATACATAGATACGTATACAGGCACAGAGGGCTTATAATTAGGGTTCTAGAGTTTAGGGGGTGTAGGATCAAAGCAGGGGGTACCGCTTAAATGGCGTATAGAGGTTCTGTGTAAGGTTTGGGGGGGTAGAGTGCTTTATGGTTCGGGTTTCAGGGTTTCTCGGGATCAGGGCTTTAGTGTGAGGTCTTGCTGCCCCCCCCGTATTACGTGCATCTTCGTAGTATATAAGTACTGCAGTTTTCTTAATATATAAGTACAAGACGTGCTGCGGGAGCAGTCTCTCAGGCTGATCCGGGAGTGAGCATGACTTTCCGAGCGAAAGCTGAGCGAATACGGTAAAGTGGGCCACGACTTTCAGCAGGAATACAAACAGCCTTGCTGCAAGTTTGGCTACCCACATCTCATGTCTGCTGAGATGTCCACACACCAACCGCCGGTATAGACATTCAGGGGCAGTGGACATATTTGTGATGGATTCACCGTATGCGGAGCCCTACACAGGTTCAATGGCATGGAATTATGGCTATGTTGTCTTGAGAGTTTCTATGGGCCCCCTGACAATCCTCTTGTAATCCTGTATGTCCCTGTCTTCCCTAGAGTATCCCTACTTAACCAAACTCTTAGCTCAAGAGCCACATAACTCTTTTAGGGCTTCCCTGTTTCCCATCAAGTCCCAATGATCCGTCAGAACCTCAGAAGCGGGCACTGCCGGCAGGCTCCCAGTCACTGGGCCGGGCAGCGGTGTGCGGCTGCAGAGCAGGTCCACGGGCGGGCTTGTACCGGGGCTTTGTGTAGGTTTGTAACATTTGGGGTCCCTGCTAGGGGGTGCCGATCACGAGGCTTGTAGCACGGAGTACATATGACCTGGAATCCGTTACTGGAAATGCTTGCATGAGCAAGTGGGACGGAAACACCTGTTGGGGCAGTCGAGATTTGGATTTTTGAGCATGGGTGTCAGTTCCAATTATGATGCAAGCTCATGTGTACTTGTGTTCCGAGTTCTCATTATCCTGCCTTAGAAGCGCGATAGATAGTCCTTAAGAAAGCATGGTGGCCGACACAAGCAGCAGCCGAGATCGTGATCATTGTTGTCAGCGCTGTCAGGTGCAGATGTACACGTGTGACACGAATTGCCTACTGGCTAGTGGAAAGACAGCGGTTTGCACCATACTCATAGCAGCAGCTGCTGCTGCGGCGGCGGCACCTCAGCCTAGCGTGCCTCCGGCTGATGTTCAGCTGTTTGACCCATCTTATTCCGGCAGGCTGCAAGCTTGGCTATCCGAGGACATGCTGAATTACAAAAGAGTTCCTATTGACTCTTTCCTTTTGAAGGGCTTACCGGAGTAGGCAGTGGGGATAGCTGGAAGGCCTGCTGTTGGCAGTTTTGAGGCCTTTTGCGGGTTCTCTCATGGCTCGTAGCTCTCCCTGAGCCTCGTGCAGGTGTTATGAAGCTTCTGCACATGCAGGCCTTCTGTAAGCCTACCCACCCAGAGCCTGAAAATCTGCTTGGTACTATGCCATAAGCCATAAGTATCTGCAGCTGCTTTCCTTCTAATGCAAGGAGGTCTCCCAACGCGCGCCCGAAACACTAGCATCCTGATTGAGGGGGAACCCAATGCTTCTTATGGGGACCCCGCAAAGGTACCCCTAATTTTGGGAAACCCCCATATAGGGCCAACTCTCGGGTTTGCTGCTTGAAGCTCTCCGGCACGCGCGATGCTAACGCGGGTAGTCGCAAGGAAAAGGTGGGAAGGATGGCTTCGGTTGGAGGTCCTCAGAATAAGTATGGACCCAGGGAGCCCAATGTATACCCCTTAATTGAGGAATATACCCTAAATGGTGCTACTATAGCGTCCCGAATATGATTTAAGCTATATTCCCAAAAGCCCTAAACCCTCTATTCCCTAATTAAGGGGCATGGGGCTCCATGGGAATGCTTACCAGGTAACGGTCGACTACCGGGATTACTACATGAGCTATAGTTTAAACTCCTTAAAGGGGACTGTAGCTCACATGGGGGTACTACCCCTAAACCCTAAACCTTATGTACTATAGTGATCCATTCCTAACTTCCCCACTAAGCATCTGGCAGGCTGATCGAAAGGTCCGTTTTTGGGGAATTTTTTGGGGTTCCTCTAGGCAATTAAGGAAGATGTGGAGAAAGTTATGTAAGTGTCATTTTGGGAAGAAATTTATGATCGATTACCATCTCGAGAATCCTGAGCCCTGCATTTACAGCATCAAACACTATGGAATCTTCCCAAGGTTCTTGCGTCGCCTCCAACAGGTTTCTAAAGAGACGGTGCGCTTTTTCAAAAGCGAGGGGATGGGGATGGCAGCTAACCTCAAGCTTAGAAAACAACACATGCCAAAGGCCAATGAACAGTACAGGGTCCAGGGTCAGGTATCTGCAGGTGGTATAACAGTAGCAGTAGCAGTAGCAACCATAAGCAGTAATTAGCTGTAGTACTACTGCTACTACCTCTACTGCGGCTGCGGCTCTTGCTCTTGCCGCTGCTGCTGCTGCGGTGGCTACTGCTACTACTGCTAATTGCTTGGATTTACTCTTATCTTCGGACCACACTAGTGATCCGCATGCATAGTCAGTCCAGGAGGCACCCGATCGTCACCTTCGCGAAGCGCAGCTCACTGCACGTGCAGACGGGCTCTGGCGAGTGGAGGCAGCGACTGCATTTCAGAGTCTGGCGGGGTCTAACAAGGGCCACCTACCCACTAACAGCAACCGCCTGGGAAAACAGCTATCATATGAAAGCCCCCATTTACTCCTAAGATTTCACAGTAAATGGGTGGGGGGATCACTTGCCTCAGGTCCTAGGTACCACAGTGAGGCCTTAAACAATTGTACAATTATACGGCAAGCAGCAGGAGCAAGCAGCAAGACAAGATCTGTCACCAGAGAGGGGGGGCAGAAGATTCCTGCTCCGCTCCTTGCAAACATTGCTCTTGAGATGTGGCTGCTACGTTGTAAGTTCAAATGCCTGCAAGCTGGCTCGAGTGATTGTTGGATAGATCGCGATCATGTTGTCCTTGCTCTTGGTCCTTCTCGGGGCCTTTGCCTTCCCAGTACTGGGTCAGCAGTGCGACTGCAACCAGTGCTCCAACGTCCCAGTTGATGATTGGACATCGCCGTGCTTCGAGATCCCAGTCTCATCCGTTTCCTTTAAAGCAGGGCAATAGCAGGGAATGCCTTGGGTTGCTGAATATCATGTGTAGCGGGTCTTCCGTAAGTCACACGTAATGGTTCCGGTTCATGTAAGTCCGCGCAATGCAACAGGGGCACAGACGAGCACTCAAGCTGTTACCTGCGAACCCGAGGAACTGCACCATCACTGGCGATCCCCACGTAGAGCACAGCTGGCGGGTGGGCTATGAAGATGGCTTCGACTTCCAGCCCCAGGGCATCTGGCGCTTAGCCAAGACAGACACCTGTGGGGGCACTGTGGAGGTGCAGGCCTTCTTCTGTCAGTATTTCTTCACGCGGTTGAGCTCCGCCATCGCGTATGCCATCACCATCAACGGCGGGGACAAGTACATCGTGAAGAGGGTTGGTGATGAGTACGTGATTGGCAGCCCTAATGTTGAGAGCGCGACGCTGAAGATCTTAAAAACCCCTGAGATCGACCCCTCGGCTGGCGTCATCATAGTCAGCGATGACAGTTGTGTGCGTATCAAGTTGAACAGCCAGCCCTTGTATGGAGGCGAAAGGAACCTGGCCTTGACCCCGAATGCCTACTACAACAATATCGTCATCAAGATTTGGGGATGCGCCCTCACCCAAGATGGCATTTGCGGTGCTCAGAAGCTCTCTACCCAGTACATCGACCCTGAGAGCGACGAGAACCTCTTCACCACACCTCAGAAGCCAGAGCTCTGGCAGGAGCTTTGTGAGTTCTGCCAGGAAGATGGCGCCGCGCTTACCCCGCCTGGGTGCCCCGCACCTCCCGGTGGTGAGATGGTCCAGCCAGGCTGTGAGTTCCTGAGGCCCTTCGGCAGCCCCCGGGACAAGGAATGCATCCCGGACGAGACCAGCACCGACCCCGCCGTGATCGCCAACAACGAGCGCATCAAGGCCTTGGCAAACAATGGCGAGAATTGCGTTGCCTTCGTCAACCTGAACACGCCCAAGTTCCCTCGAAGGTCTTGTCGGGACTGGTGCCAGGACCGTGGAGCAAAGTGTGTGGCTGTGCGCGATGACCCCTTTGCAGGGAGATTCCCCAATGCGGAATCCGTCTGCAATCTCACTGATGCTGATGACCCAGTCAACTTCGATGAGGGAGAGCCCAAAACGTGCGACACCAGGCTCAGGGATACCCACTGCGTCTGCGAGAAGCCGGACAACAACGCGCCCGGCGAGACTGCAGAACTCACGTGTCGAGATGCCGTTGACCTTTCGGGCTTCAACTTCTCCTATCTGGATGCAGCAGAGATTTGTCGGCAGGAGGCAGTGTGGTTGCAGATGGTGACCTACCCGCAGAATGGTGAGCAAACCACATTTGAGCAGAGGCTTCTTGTGTACTGCGTGCAGGACGTTTGTGCCACAGACCCGGAGGATCGCATGGAAGTGGCCCGCAGCTATGGAGACCGGGACCCAAGCTTCCCTCCGAACAAGCCCAACGTTTGCAACGGCCCCCTGCTGTGCAATCTCATTTGCACCGCTGGGCTCATTCGGGACTGGAGTTGCTTGAGCAAAATTCAGCATAGCAGGCTTTTGGGGCCTTGTTGTTGCTGCAGGCTGGAGTCTGGCGTAACTTTATAAAACATTCTGCCCCGAAACCCAAGGCTCATGCATGGACGTTTGCACTGGCCACCGATCTATGCTCATCCATGCAACGGGGCGCTACTGCAAGGCAGGGCTTTGCCCGAGCTTGCTTGAGGAGTCGGAGATCATGGCGCTTCTACAGGCTAGAAGGTCGCTGCGTTGAGTTAGCTAACATCTAGGCTCATTCAGGGCGGTCACTTGTAAAGGTAGTTGAGGCAGTTTGGAGCAGGATCCGTTCAGGGTTCAATCTTAACCCTGGCCTCAAAACCCAACAACATACCCTAAGGTCCCTACCATTAACCCTCCCAAAGCCTCTTGAAGTCTCACCTCCCCAAACTTTTTCCAAAGGGCAGGAGTCTTTGCAGGGGCCTCCATCTAAGTGGTAAGACCTGCGTTTGGATCCACCTTGCTAGCCAAGGCTGAACGTACGTCCTGCACGATGAATCCCTAACGAGAATGCATGCGGGGATTTCAAACTTTGCGGGTCCACCTTTTAGGGGGTCGGTCCCCGAAGCTATGACTTGGGTGTATATGCCGGAGCCCTATAATTTTGAATGTTCAACTCCCGCGTAGTACCCGGAAGAGTGCTATGAGTCCGCGTCAGCGTTAGCTGCGGCGTCGCAGTCGGCGTCGGCGTCGGCGTTTTTAGTTTTTAGCCACATAATTGTATGGCACATAAGTAGCACTGACAGATGGTTATCAGTGACAGTAACGTCAGTCGACATACAGCATCAAACACACGAAAATTGGCTCTGGCACTGGTGGGTTCTCGCCAGTATTGGGTAGGTGTAGTGCTGGCGCTGGTGCTCCTGTTGCTGATGCTGCTGTGCTGGTGGTGGTGCTGGTGGTGGTGGTGCTGGTGGTACTGGTG